GAGCTCTACAGTGTTTGGGTCAGTATGATTCATAGGCTAAAAGAAAAAACAAAATCCTATTCTATCATTTATATTTTAAGTGTCAGTTTTTCTATCTTATTTATCTTCTTCATAAATTCATGTGATTACAATGAAGTAGGATTTTGATGACATACAATAGGTTGTTTTTGAATTGCTTACTTTGGTCACAGATCTGCTCCTCCCCAGACCAGGCACTAGGTCCCAAACAGGAAACCTTGCCAAATACATATTTTTCTGTCTTGGCTTCTCCCTCAAGATTGGAAGTAGGCCAGCAACATCAGTAGTAACCCTTGCCACTAGATATGAAGTTGATGTACCAGGCCTATGTCTCCCACTTTTCTTCCACACAGTGTGTCTTTCCTTTTTATAAACCCAGTGAGGCAAATAGATTAAGTTTTATAAACACATACATTTTATAAGTAAGTACCTCAAAGTTTAGCTTAGGTAAGTAGCCTGCCCAAGGTTATGACAGCTAAGAGAGGCAGTGCACAGACAAAACTGCCCAAGACAGGGTTTAAGTCCTGCCCGTTGTGCATTCTATCTCCTCCGCTCTTTGTCAAAAGCCCAAATCCAGAGGCCACACAATTGTGGCCCGGTTCTGAAGTACCTCAGTCACCCCTGTGTTCTAGGATAATGGAAATGGATTTCCAGGCTGCTCTGTGTTTTCTGTGATGGAGCTTTGGAAGGGAGACTTTGAAACATTAACTACTGAGTGTCTGTATAGTATTTTATGTTTTAAATCTGTATAGCTCAATTTCCTGTCTCTCTTTGGTTCAGCTTTTAAATTCTGCTGTTAACTTTAAATTGTTGACAAAGTTATTATCATCATGGGTACTTCCAACACCTCTCTGGAAACAGTTCTCCAAAATATGTGTGAAAAGCATTCTCTTTCGACAAATTGATTTCTATTCTCCATCAAGTTTGATTTCTACCAAAATCCCCTCTATTTGTTGGTGTGGAAGAATAACACTGTAGCACAGAAATCCCATGGTTCCTAGTTGAAAGGCAAATAATGACTTGAAGAACAGTAATGCCAGCCAGTTCATTTGCATAGCTACATAAGGTGTATGTTGAATATTGAAAGCTCAAGTCATCGATAGAGGTGTTTGTTTTGTGTTTTAGTTTTTTATTGTTAATAAATGAGCCTATTAGTTACATTTATTTCTAGGATTCATATTTTGATGACAAAAAGATAATGGACACTGGGGTCGCTTTCCATGGAGTGGAAATGCTTATAATTCTTAGAAGACAGTTTTTTACAAAGACATTAGTAATGTGGTAGCGAGTATCCTCAACATCGTGAAATGTAAAGGCCCTATAACAGGTGCTATGTTTTGCCCTTTTCCTCCTTCCCTCCCTCTCTTGCCTCCCTCCCTTCCCTCCCCCCCTTCCCTCCCCCCCTCTCAACAGTTTCAAAGCATACTGGAGATACAACTTAGTGAGATGGGTCTTTGAGGACTAAGATAATTATGGCTTAAATACATTTCAGTAATTAATCCCAGCTCTGGGAGGCAGAGGCATGCGGATCTCTGAGTTCGAGGCTACCCTGGTCTGCAGTGTGAGTTCCAGGACAGCCACGCTACACAGGAAAAACCTGTCTCAAAATACAAAAACAAACAATCAAAAGCTATAGCTGACTTTTTAAAAGGAGCTGCAGACTGAAGGAACAGCTTAGCAGGTACCAGCATTTGATACACATGCCTGATGATCTGAGTTAGATCTGCAAAATCTGCTTTTAGAGCTGAGGCAGTCGTCTGTAATCTTCCAGCTCCTGTGGTGATGTGGGTCGTAGAGACAGGAGAGTCAGCACAGCTCTCAGAGCAGCTAGGTTGGAGTTCACAGTGGTGGCAGAAATAGGGGACTCTGACTTAACAATGTAGAAAGCAAGAACTGACTCTCAGAAGTTGTCTTCTGAGTTCCACATTCATGCCACGCCACATCTTATCTATACAAGTACACACACACAACAAGGATACACAACCAGTAAAATATGCTTTACTCATGAAAATACATTTTTAAAGACAGGACATGGGCAAGACATGCTGGCACACCCAGAAGGCTGAGGCCAGCCTGAACTATATAGTGAGACCCTGTCTAATGAATAAATAATGTATTCGAGTGGGGTGCTTTTCTGTTTCATTAAGTGTTGCATACACTTTTACAGCTTTTATAACATTTGGAGTTATTCCTGAGAACTTTTTATTTGGGCAACAAACCACTTGGGAAATATAATCCTCTCTGCTCCTTATTTCACATGGCAGCCTTCCATGGCATTTCTTTTGTTTGGGCATTTTCTTTTTCTTCCTGCCATTCTTAGCTTTCTATTTTCCAACTTGAGTTTACAAAGAGTATGTTTTCAAAGGACTTCCTCCAGTTCCCAGTGCCTTATTAATCCTGAGAAGTTACTTAGTCATCCAATTCTCATAGTAAGCTATAAAAATAGACATCCAGAAAGATTAGAGTGTGGGACTACTATGATTTGAACTGATACACAATTTTGACCTGAGGAAAAGGAAATACCATGTGTTATAATTTCCCTAAATTTTAATCCATATACGGTTTTTAAGGAGCTTTAAAATGTAAGGAGCTCAGATCTCACCCCCACATCAAGCATGGTGGGAGCTAAGGGATAAGAAATCACTAGAAACGAATCACACCTGGCCCCTAGATCTTGGTTATTAGTGACATCCTTAATGAAAGGAACAAGAACTATGTGGTGGTTTTAAGGGATACTGGTCAAGCATTTTGTATAATGTCCTTCAAGAAGTTGTCTGGTATTTTTCTTGTAAAGCTATGAATTTGAAGCGGGAAGATATAAAGTAAAAGCCATTCTTATACCACGAAGAGTGCCTACTAGCAGAGTCATTTACCACTCTTAGTACTGATCTTGCTTGTCTACCCCACCTCCCATTCCATCACTGTAGCGGAGTATTCCACTCTCACTTCCTTGATGACATAGTATGTACATAAGTTATTTGAAATTCTACCTGGGTGATTTATCTCTTTACCCTATTTATTTATTTAATCCATCATTTATTTTTGTATATACAGATATTTCTCTCACACTCAAGGCTATAACTCAATATTACCATATTTGTTAGTTGCTTAAATTGTTTGGCTTAAGTCACTAGGAATGTTTTTCATTGGCTGTCAATATCCCTCTGACATACTTCCATCAGTACAGACATTCTGTTGTTGGTAGTGTTACTGGTATCAGTTGGTTGGCTTGGTTTGTGGTAGCAATAAAAATTAAGAAGTGTTTATGGGATTTTTTTTTGTCTGTTTCTTTTTTAATTTTCTGGCAATAAAAATATTCCAGGGTTGTCTCCTGTGTTTTTCGCCTCAATCTTAGAGTCACTCATTTATCCAAGTAGCTCTTACTCCTTTTCTTAGCAAATGGTATTAAACTTGTAGAGTGGGGTATGCTGTGTGATTTACCAAAGTAATTGTATGGTGTGTAGGCTTGTCATTTGTAAGAGGTCCAGTTGTTGGATTACCTCACCAATGTTTGGTGCTTTCATTTTAGCCAGCCTAATGTGTCAGTGTGTGTGTGTGTGTGAAGTTTCTGAGCTACTTATATTGTCTTATTTTGTTGCTTAAAATATAAAAGACAAATGTAACTATTTACAATATTTCATTTAAACTGTTACTACATTTGAATATACAGAAACATACAGATTTCTTGAGAATTGACTTTTGTAACTTGCAGCAAATACTGTTAACATTCATTACTATGTGAAAGATACATAATCAAAAGGAAGATCAAGTTATAGCAGACTCTGACAGTGTTTGGGGCACTGAGCATGTATAAACTTATTTGGCAGCAAGTAGGTGTATTTAAAATCAGTACCCAAATCTTCTTTCTGGTCACATTGTCAAGGATAAGGATTTGTTTTGGAATTTTGTGATATTTTTAATATTATTATTCTGACAAGAATTTATTAAACTCGTCATTATTAGAATTCAGGGGAGGGACATGTGGTTTGGCCTATGAAAGATCAAATGGATTCATTCCAAGTTTTTCAGCATATTTTGTAAGATCAAATAGTTTAAGGCAGTGGTTCCCATAGGACTCCAGTTTGTTACCGTTTTTGCAGGCTTCAGAAATTCATCCTGTGATTTTTCATTGTCTGGTCCCATGGTCAGTGGGAAGGGCAGTGGATACATGAAAACTGCTGGGGATGTTAGAGGCAGCAGGGCATTGGTATGCCTCATGGGTGACTGCTGGCATTAGTGACACCTATTTACCTTTTTGTTGATTCAAAGACCACTCGTCTCTTCTGGCAGAGGAAAAGAGGGGTTTCTCGTTAGGTGTTTGAACCCTGTGCCGTTTGGCAGTCTCACTCTGCATTCTTGTGTCATTTGCCCTTAGGAAACTCTGGTTAGGGGCCTTGGACCATGGCTGAAGAGATGGCTCAGAGGTTAAGATCACTGACTGCTCTTCTAGAAGACCTGGTTCCATTCCCAGCACCCACATGGCAGCTCAGAATAGTCTGTACCCAGCTCCACCACACATGAAAGGAATGTACATACAAAGCCTTGGACCTTTCCCATTTAGGAATGGGCATGAGCTTCATGCCAGAGGATAGATTAAGCATTACTTTATCTACTCAGGTTTTCTATCAGAAGTACTTGCACTCCTCCTTTGAAGTAAACGTGAATGTTTTTCTGAGGGAAACCAATTCTTAGCAGCTTATTTTCCTTTGTACACGAAAGTTCACTAGCCTCACTTCCTGATGTGCACAGGGAAGAGAGCATGCGTGTGAGGAATGAAATGGCACCTTCCTTCTGTCTGGTCCACCCTCGTTACACATTACACTTACAGAGGATTAGTCCCTGAAGAGGCAGTAAGTGCAGGCGTGAATATGTGTTTGACCTTAAGCACTTAAAGTACGTAAATAATGGGACCCTTTTGTACAAATCCAAATAGATAACTATCTTCTTAATGGCCCTGGGCCTCTCTTCCTCTGTTTCCACAGGAGTCTCCCCAAGACAGTGCTATCACACGGGATATTAACCGCACGTTTCCAGCTCATGACTACTTCAAGGACACAGGAGGAGATGGACAAGATTCCTTATATAAAATATGCAAGGTATTTCATATTAAAATATAAAAGTATTGGTTTTGAATAACAGTTCTAGTTCTTTGAAATTATGTAAAAGATAAACTACAAAATGTAATTTGGGCTTGTTTGGGGCTTTTGTTTTTAGTTTTTTCTGTTTTTTGAAACAGGACCTTGTGTTGTCTAGGCTATATTCAGTCTCACTATACCAGAGGCTGGCCTTAAATTCCTGTTCCTCTTGCCTCCAGTTCCCAAATCATAGATTTACAGATGCATTCCACCATGTTGTCTACAAAGTATAATTTGTATTTGATTTTCAGAATTGGAAAAGAAAGATTAAGACAACAAAAATGAGTATCTGAAAGCCGTAGATAACACAATTTTAGAGTCATTAAAAATCAGGAAATAATGAGTCCAGAGAAATGACTCTCTTTAACAGCCCACACTGCTCTTCCAGAGGACTGGAGTTCAGTTCCCAGAACCTACACCTAGTAGGTCATCACTTCATAAACTCCAGCTACATGGGGTCCAATGCCTCTGGTTCTGCAAGCACCTGTATTCATGTAGGTCATGCTGTTATGCTAGAAGTCACTCTCAGCCAGTTAGAAGCAGGACATGCGAGGCTAGAAAGAAGATAAGGACAGAAAATAGCATATTCTTGGTACAGTCTAGCCATCTCATTATGACCTCATAACTACTGGCCTGCACAGGACTGTCCGTGTCGGCAGCCAGTCATGGATAGGGCAAGGACCTGTGGAACCCTACTTTCTCCTACTGAACTGATGGATACTGAAAGATTCTGGGCGAGCATGAGTCCTCTTCAGTTGTGTGCCCACTGTGAGCCCTGCTGGTGAGCCCACCAGGCTCCAGTGGAGAGTTGCAAACCCATGGCCATACAGAATCCTAGTTCAAGCCAGTGGGTCACAAAACCAAAGAGAGACAAATATGGGAAAAGGATTTGTCAGGAGGAGAGTATTGACAGGTACAGGAGGAAGGTAAGGGGTTGGGAAGAAAGTCGTTAGCATGTATTATATACATGCGTGAAATTGTCCAAGGACAAATCTGATAAAGACTGTTTGAAAACCAGAAAGAGAAAAAGAATAACTGAAGCCAGTATAGCTAAATGTGACACTTACCAAGACCAAGTTCCACTTACCAAGACCAAGTGACACTTACCAAGTGACACTTACCAAGACCAAAACAGAGGAAAAACAGTTTCAAATTTGGTTTGTAAGGCTCCTGGGAGCCATGGAATGCTTATACACATTCTAGGTGCTGAAGTTGGCTCTGTGGATATGACTCAACAGTAAGATGTGCCAGTGCCCAGGTGGATTTGTAGCACTGCTGCTTAATAAATAAGTGATGGTGAATATTCATTTCTAAGATCTGTACCTGAACACCAGACAAAGAACAGCCTATTCAGTTGTAATCTTTTTGTTTTGTTTCGTTTTTTCAAAGCAGGGTTTCTCTATGTAGCCCTGGCTGTCCTGGAACTTGCTCTGTAGACCAGGCTGGCCTTGGAACTCGCAGAGATCCACCTGCCTCTGCCTCCAGGTGCTGGGATTAAAAATGTGCGCCACCATGCCTGGCTGGTTGTAATCATTTTAAAAACAGATTTGTTCTATTGCACATCAGAACCACGGTGCTAAAAGGTTGGGACCAGACCTTTTCAGTCTTGTCCTGATTTCAGAGCCCGTCTTTGACCTTTTCCTTCTCATAATTAAGTAGTTTTTTGTCGTGTGTTCAGACAAGACATAAGACATGTTCTTAAGGAACTTTCACTTAGTTTTTTCTTTCCAATCTTATCAGCTGGCTTTAGGAGGGGCTAGTGACATACTAGGTGATTTTAACTATTGAGGACAGTTAGACTTTAAAGAAGTTGTTCTTTAATTTCTCTGTAATGCTCAAAGCTGTGATTCTATTGTAATCTTCTTAGGTCTTTTAGCCACTTGTATCTTTTTTGTTGTTGTTGTTCTTGTTTTTAATTTTACAACACTATTCAGTTCTACATAACAGCCACAGATTTCCTTGTTCTCCCCCTTCCTGTCCCCCTCCCTTTCCCCCCAGCCCACCTCCCTTTCCCACCTCCTCCAGATCAAGGCCACCCCCGAGGACTGAGATCGACCTGATAGACTCAGTCCAGGCAGGTCCAGTCCCCTCCTCCCAGATTGAGCCAAGCGTCCCTGCATAAGTCTCAGGTTTCAAACAGCTATCTCATGCAGTGAGCCTAGGACCTGGTACCACTGCCTAGATGCCTCCCAAACAGATCAAGCCAATCAACTGTCTCACCTATTCAGAGGGCCTGATCCAGTTGGGGGCCCCTCAGCCTTTGGTTCATAGTTCATGTGTTTCCATTCCTTTGGCTATTTGTCCCTGTGCTTTATCCAACCTTGGTTTCAACAATTCTCGCTCATATAAACCCTCCTCTTTCTCGCTAATTAGACTCCCAGTGCTCCACCTGGGGCCTAGCCATGGATGTCTGCATCCAGATTCCTCAGTACTTGGATGGGGTTTCTGGCACAACTATTAGGGTGTTTGGCCATCCCATCACCAGAGTAGGTCAGTCCCTAGCCACTTGTATCTTGTATCTCAGTTCTATCTTCCATACAGTTCCCCGCCATGTTGCAGAATTCCCAGAAATTATGCCAGTGTCCACTGCCTCTGCCTCACTTCTGTATCCAGTTTCCATGTCTCAGCCTCCTGCAGCTCTCTGCCTTTGACTCTCCCTTCCTGGCTATCCTCCTGCCTTTGAGCCTCACCAGTAATTTTGTCTTTTCTCTCTCTGCCTGTCCACCCACAGAGACCTTCCCGTGGTACTCAGATGGAATTCTCCAGCTCTACATGGCCCTTTGAAGTCCCCCTCACTCTCAGAGCAGAAATTCTCAATTACTAGACAGATGTGCCAAATCTGTGTTAGCGTGTTAAATCCTTGGTGCCAGTTAGTCTCTGTCAGAATCTTGGAACAAAGTTGGTCTTTCGAGTTCACTTAAAAACATGTTTATTGTGAAAGCTTTCAAACACAGAAATTGATTATTGTGGTGAATTTCTGTGTATTCCCTTCACATCAGCTTCCTTTCATGTTGCTTTATCTGTCCATTAGTACTTCAAAATATATTGCTGCCTGTAAGGGAACCAGCCCTGAGCTGTCTTGGAATCCATGGTGTTAGTGAGGGTAGGACTTTTCTATCTGAGGGATTTTAGGGAAAGCATTTACACTCTCTTGGTGGTTTCTTTTCTGTATTCTCTCACGTTGTACTACTTAATTGCTCTCGTGTTCCCTTTCCCTGCACAGTTTCAGTACTCTAATAGCATCTCTCAGGCAATACAAAAGTCATAAAAAGTACATTCCATTTCTCTCATTATCTAAGAACACCTGCAGCCCTTACAGGAGCTGCATATTCAGATTATCTTCTGTAGCCTTGACTAGTCAGAATTTATTTTTACAAATTGGGGTCAGGAATGAGTGCAAGGAATTAATCATTTGCCAGCTAGCAATAATTAGGCTGTCTTTGTATTTACAACCTAGTCAGACAGGACAGCTGTGTGTGTCCTTGTGAACAAGAGAGGGAATGTAAACCATAAGCAAGGCATCTGGTCTAATCTAAAGCTCTTTTGAAGGTTTACATCAGCTTGCAGTGCTCATCCATAAAATTAAAGGAATTTGAGGCATTCTGGCTCCTAGTTTATCTTAATATGAGCAGTGATCATAAGCAGTTTCTTAGTGGAACTCAATAGGCCCCGACTGTGTCAAAAGTTACCTAGCATCCTCCTGACAGTCCACAGATACAAATGCCCGGAAGATCGAGATGATTCCATGAGATAAACACATACTTTACAGGCAGTCAGGAATTTTCCCACAATCATATACATTATATCAAATACCAGAGAAAAGGATGTAAAGGTACAACAAAAGGAAAAGATATTCTGGAGTCTCGCAAGCCCTGCTTAAATGAGGTATACCCATCAGAGTGTTTTTCTTCTGGTGGGTTGACATGTGCTATTCCTCTGTTATGTCTATTGGCTACCTACAAAAATAAAATTCAGAAATCTTGATTCAAAGTTAGACTATTGTCCATCTCAGCCCTCCAGTGGCTGCTCTATATCCAGACTTCCTTGAATGCCATCACACAGCTGGCTGTGTCAGGGTCCCTCAAGACCCTCCTTTTAGATGCTGCATCTCTTCTGATTGATGTCAGTCTTCCTTTCCCACCGTGTCACTGTGTCCCAGGTTGTTTGATGCAGTTGATGACCCTTAAAGTTGCATTTCTCTCTGTGTTTGCCCTCTTATGTTGCTGGCAGTTTTATAAAAACTTCCTTGAATTAGTCGCCCAGCCTCTGGGGTCTAGCCTGCTTTCATGTCTACTCCAAAATTTGTTTCTTGTTTACACCAAAAATAACTCATTTGTGCAGCTTCCACAGAAATCTTGAGCACTACAGTCATAACACAGTGGAATAAAATAAAAACCCCTGAGTTCATTTTCTGCTTCTGGATAAGGGTAGGTGATGATTTGTAATATATCCTGGTTCATAACTTGCTCCTGCTTCACCAGATAACTTCTGGCTTTACAGAGCTTGATTGATTTGTGGGAATTCCCTCACTGAAGTTCTCAAGGACAGTAGCACTGCTACTGAGCATATTACAGATGTTCCTTAAGTGTCAATGAACTAATGAAATGCTTTGCCCTCCTTTTCTTCATTTTAGACCCTTGAATCTTTTACTCCCACTGTTTCTCAAGTACCTCATGTACTTTCAATACATGTGTGCGTTCATTTGGTCCTTATCAGCCTGAATATTATGTTCCTATAAGTAAATTTGTTGCAACTCTGTGGGTTTGGTCCCAGGTTTTGGCACCAAAATGTGAGTTTTGCAACTCTGGGGAAAGGTATCCTGACTACTTGGGGAGTCCGGCAACACCTTGAGCTGCTTAGGAAAGCTCTGACAGCTGGCAGCTGCAAAGAGACAGCCCAGCCCTAGAGGGCGAGGTATCCCAGACACCTTGAGCTGCTTAGGACAGCTCTGATGCTGGAGCTGCAAAGAGCTCAACCCTGGAAGGGAAGTTTTTCTGACAGCTCAGGAAAGTCAGGCCTGGAACTGCTTCATCAGGAAAGGGTATCCTGACTGTTTAGGAAAGTCAGGCCTGGAGCTGTCAAGAGCTCTGCAGGGAAAGGTATCCCGACTGTTCAGGAAAGTCAGGCTATACCTGGTGTGATGGGGGATGGTCTCCCGCAGGATATAGCAATCCTGCTCCTCTCCTGGACAGCCCCTACAGTGGGGCTTTGCTCAGCCCCCACTTAAGGGGGCTTCCTAGCAGAGCTCTGCTTCTCGGTCTAAGATGTTGCTTCTTTTGCTTCACTCTGGAAAAGGGGAAACCCCTGCAGAAATGTAGCAATCTCCTCTGGCTCCAAAGAAAGGTCTTACTTTTTCAGCTCTCTCTTGCTCTGTCCCTGACTCAGCAAGGATCTTCTCTACATCAGTGAATGAAGATCTTCACACCCAAAACTCTTGTGAGAAAGCAGTTTATTTGGGAAGGAGGAGTCCAGGAGAGTAGCTGCCTCTACCAGGGTGGAGAGAACAGCTGTCTTTTTTAACTGACCAGGCAGGGTGGTTTATATAGGATGTCCTGGGGGTGGAGTCAACCAGGGGTTGACTTGGGGCCCAGGATTCTGCTGTCCTGCTCTGTGATTGGTTGGTTTCACAAGTCAGTTGGCCAGGGACAGAGATGGCTCTGATTTGAGCCAAACTGTGTTTCTTTCACTGGCCTTACTTAGCTTTTTGACACTAATTTTGACTCTGATTCTAGGGACCAGCAGTATTTCTTTGGCACTAGTTCCAGAGTCAGGGCATGTTTCCTTGGTTCTGGGTTTGGGAATAAAGTGTTCATTTCTCTGGCTCAGGTCCCAAACCCACCCTGTATTTCTTTCCCTGGTCCTGGATTCCAGGGCCAGGGTTCTACTGTCCTGCTCTGTGATTGGTTGGTTTCACAAGTCAGTTGGCCAGGGGCAGAGATGTCTCTGATTTGAGCCAAACTGTGTTTCTTTCACTGGCCTTATCTGAGTCATCTTTCTGGGCTCCAGAGTCAGGGTGGGTTTCTTTAGCCAGCCCCTTTTCCCTACAGTTCCCCTCTGTTCTCTACCTATGGAGACTCCATGCATGTATATAAAGTTACATAAAGTTACTTAAGCTGTGCTGAGCTCTTTGCCTAAGAAGGGTGAGTGAGGACATTAAGTCAACATCATGATATTAGTAGTGTATATAAATAATGTGCACAAGATCTAGCAAAACTGACAAACGCAGGCCTCTGACTCTGTAACTGAGTCATGATGATACCAAATGCTTCCCAGAGAAGTTGCCAATCTGCAATGATAGTTTTCAACACACTCTTAGCAATTATTGGCTCTAACATTAATTTTTATTAACTTAAGGTGTGGAAAGAGATGTGCCTCCTGGTGTTATAAACAGGTTCTTTCTAAAGCTCTCATTTTGTATCTTGTCTTTGAAAAAAGGATATGTTCTTCTTGTAGCCCTCTCATCAGACAAGCTGTGAGGAGCCGGAAAGCCTGCTAAAATTACAGTGACTTCTACCTGAGTTTATGAAGATAGGATTATAAAGCTATGATGTCTCTAAAAGCTAATGATAAAATCTGTGTGTGTGCGCGCGCACGCGCACACACACACGCGCGCGCACACACACACACACATACATATACATCAAAGACCCTAGAAGGATGAAATGTTATCTAACCATAGGGACATCTGACTGCCTGGACAATCACCCTAGGTTCTTCTGTAACACTGGGGCATCCAACCCTGGCCTACAGTCTTAGTATATCTGACAGGCATTTCTGTTCTGAGAAGCAGGAATTTTGAAGGAATGTCCTTCTTGTCTTGGCAAAGTTTGGCAGTCGGTTTTTGTTGTTATTGTTGTTTTGGGTTTTGTTTTGTTTTGTTTTTTCCGTCCTGCTTGTCCAGTTTGGACAGTATACTGTAAGCAGTTGAGGAAAGGGCTGTTTCTTTGCCCACATGTCTAGCTTTTGCCATAAAGAAAGCAAACTCTATACAAAGGTTCTTCAATGCTCATCATCTTCTTTGAAGTAAATGGGTGCTGTCAGGAGCAGACATGTCTCACTGTCATGAAAAGTCTTAGATGTTAGTAAATATATTAAATGTCATAGTCTGTAGGTGTCATCTATGTGAATATATCTCTGTTTGACCTTGAAAACATACCTAAAATGACTGTAAGTTTGATTATAATAGGTGACTACTAACCTGCATTTATTATCCTAAATAGTTTGTAGTGATAACTTTTGAGGACTAGAAATTGACATTATATTGTTCAATGAGCTGCATAGGTACAATAGGTATAAGAAAATTAATCTTAAATTTATATCAACATACAAAAATCTTAAATGAATAGAAACATATATACAGTATAACAAAAATAATCTCAAATTTGTATCATACAAAAATTCATACCAATGTAAAATATTCAAGACTGGTTGTTGCTTTTTGGATTAAAGTAGATTTAATAATCTACCTTTTTATCCTATCATTTCCATACCCCCCTTTTTCTGTTTAGAACAAGATCCCTGAATCTAATCTCCTTTGTTTAGCTTTTTTTTTCTGACCATTTCCAATAACAACTTGTAACTAACCTCCTTAAATGATAACAAACATCTACCAAAATTTTGTATGTTCCCTAGACTGCTTCCTGTTGTCTGGGGGTGCTGGTATCTTTGGGGGAACCTTGAGAAAATTAGGATAATAATGAAGTCTTGGCTGGAGTGGTCCATGAGGTTGGACCATCTCAGCCAGCAGCCTTGAAGCTAGTTTGAGTGCTGAATTTTGAGGAGACTGTAACAGAGGCATTTTGAAATACTGGATTACCTGGGTCATCCATTTTCATTGGTGTTTGGTCCCCTTGTTCTGAAAATACATAAAATTTTAAAGGTAGTATCCATTACAGGTATGGAATGTATTGCGTGTACAAGTCAGTTAAAGATGATTTTTTTTGTTTTATGTTTGAGCAGGTAAAATGCACATTTCTTGTAGTTCTTCTAGGTTTATTTTTATGTCTGTAGCCAGGATTTCAGGGAGGTCTTTCCCAATCAAACCTGATGTTCTTTAATCTGGAATGAATCCACAGCTTCTCATTCCCTGTGGAAATAAGAGCATAACCTCTCCCCCAAAGCAACATACCTTTTGACCTAATTTTTGAAGTATATTTTTAAAATATCAAGACAGTTTTAAAATACACAGGTTAGTTTAATCTAGCAGCTTTTATAATCCAGTGTCTCTTAGCAGCCAACAGCATTCAACAGAAATAAATTGGTCATACGGGAATAGCATCATTACTTTATAGCAGTGGTCCTCAACCTTCCTAATGCTTCGACCCTTTAATACAGTTCATGTTATGGTGATCCCCAACCATAAAATTATTTTCATTGCTACTCTTATGAATCATAATGTAAATAAGCAATATGCAATCCCAAGGGGTCATGACCCACAGGTTGAGAACCACTGCTTTATTGGCTTTCCCCCTTTCTTCCATAGTTTACATGAGAACTACTAATGCTAATCACAAAAAACAGCTCAAGAGCAGCCGAGAAGGGACCATGGGGAATTGTAGATATCAGTGTTCTAGTCAAGATAATGTTCATAGGCAATGAGAGTAATCATCTACTGCCAAGGAAATTAAAAATAAGAATCCAGAGAAAGCCACAAAAGATTTTAGAGCCATCACTCTTATCAAAAAGCCTTTTATACAGGTAGATGGTTGAATAATATTAACTAATCAGTACCTCGTTGAACAACACATCATCTCATCTCTCAGGAGTCCTAGAGAAGATGGACACTTAAAATGTGGCCTAGTAAATGCTATAATAGCCATGTATGTTTAGCAAGTACCACAGAGTTACAGAGAAGAGAGTGATTCATTCTGGTTGAATTGGGACATTTTTTGGGTTTAGAGGAAGAATACATTTTTCAGGCAGAGAAGAGCATCCCAAGATGATCACATGAGCTTTTAGAACAGGAGCTGTTAGAATCTGATTTAATGCTCAACTCATTTTTGATGAACTTTCTCCTTGGCCACTGGAGGTAGCATGGTGACAGCTCCTTTACTGTAAGGATGACACTGGGACTAGAGAGATAGATTAGCATCATCCTTTGGCCTTCAAAATGGCCCAGTGAGGCTTGGATAGCATCCTCTTACTTCCTGTCTTCAAGGTCCCAAAGAGCAGGCATGGCCCATGAATGAGTCATTCCTTTTTAGTTTTTTCAAGACAGGGTTTCTCTGTGTAGCCCTGGCTGTCCTGGAACTTGCTCTGTAGACCAGGCTGGCCTCAAATCAGAGATCCACCTGCTTCTGCCTCCCGAGTGCTGGGATTAAAGGCATGCACCGCCCGGTGAATGAGTCGTCCTCTAACCACGGGTCTCGTCCCTTGCAGGCGTACTCCGTGTATGACGAAGAGATCGGCTACTGCCAGGGCCAGTCCTTCCTTGCGGCTGTGCTGCTCCTCCACGTGAGTAGTCGGGTCTCTGTCACGGCTGCACCAGCCTCTCCCGGCTTACGTGTGGCTAAGTAATGGCAGGTTAGATTTCCTTTCTGTTTTTCAGAAGATTAGACAAACTTGAGTATTGGCTGACCCTTAGGGACATTTTGGTGTCTGTACAATAGCCACTGTCATTAGTAATTGTTTGGAAGTTCATATGCTAGGAAGAGAGCAAGGCTTTCTTTAGTACCATTTTATTTATGCCTTCATTTAATAAAGACCTTTACTCTCCAGCTTTTTTTAAATCCATAGACATGTCAGAACTACGTTAAGCTGAATAGCCATATTTAGTAGTCTTAATTTGACTTCCAGTTACTGATTTATTCTTTATCTTCATTTTCCTTGTCCACAAACACAACTTACTATCTTTTAAAAAGAAAGTAGCAAACATTTGCGCTTGTGTCTTGTAAGGACCAGGGTATTCTACATCATAACTGTAATATCACATCCCACACTCACGTCCTGCCTGGCACACAGTCCACACTCAGAGCTCCATCCCAGTACATGTGTGATTTGTTATTCTGCTGTACTAGGGATTGAACCCAGGAACACAAGCATGCTAGGTGAGTTTCTTACCTATGAGCTATATCCCCTGCCCATATGCGAATCCTTTATGGCCATTACTCTGTGATCCAGCAACAAATCAGATGCTGTATTTGTTTGTCTTTTGTCCTTACAAAACCACCCTATTGTCTTTGTTTCAAGCCATTGACTTTTTAAAAAAAATTTAAGTACATTGCCTCATAAAATATGTCACATGCTTAATTTGCCTAATCATTTTCTTATTATTTAACTTAAAAATGTGTGGCAAGAATACTCCCCAGGTGGTATCAGCAGTTCTGACTGCTGCTGGAAATTTGAAGCTAAGAGTGAGCACAGGATAAACCTAGTGATTCCACCATCTGTAAACAGACAAGCATGCTTGCAGGGATTTTAATGGCTCCATACAGATAAAATGCAATGAACAGTGTAAGACTGTAACAGAGATCCTTGTTTAGATTAAAGGCTCCTCTTGGCAGATAACCAGTACAGCGCAGTGGACTCTGAAAACAAGAAAGGCTGTCACTCTCTTGTGTACTTTTCAGTGTCAGTTCACCTTTTTCCTTGTTGTGTTGCAATAGAAGTATTGTAAAAGCATGAAACAGAGTCGACTACTGCTGTCCATGGGAATCATATAGTATGTAAAAGCTGAAGAACTTCAAATGCATGGAATTAAAAGAGGCATAGTGGGACTGCAGTGGGAGAGAGGGAAGACAAAGACCGTGTTAGAGAGGAGAACACGGGCCACAGGAAACCATGCAAGCCAGAGTAAAGCTTACATGTTTGCTTTGAGAGGGCAGGATGTCTTAGGAGGATTTTAAGCCATTTTGTAAAGATGGCCTTACAGGTCAAAAGAAAAGGCTCTGGGTTCTTTAATGGGAGCTCAGCTTGGTGATGTCTATAGCAGGTACAGCAGAGTTACAGAGAAGAGCAAGGTTAGTTCTGGATGAATTAGAACATTGTGGGGAATTTGGAGTATATACTAATGCTAGGACATTAATAAACAGATCAGTTGTTTTTTTCTTTAACTTTGATTTATTATTTTAGACAGACTTTATGTCTCACTCTTACACACCTAAATGGTTCATCTATTTATTTGTTTATTGTAGTTTCACACAAAGAACATTTATTCCCATTTAATAATCACCACCCCTTGAAAATGGTTTCCTCAATCGCAGTCCTATTTAGAACTCCTGCTGCTTCCTGAGTGTTAAGTGTGTGTTTTCTTGCAAGAGAAATGGGCAACCCCACATCAGAAATACCACACAAATCCAACCTCTTCTCCCTAACATGTTCCTTTTACAACAAAAATCTCAGAAAATCTAGCATTTGCCCCAAACAGCTTGTCCTTCCCAATAAGATCTGCTATGCTTTGTCCTGTATTGCTTTTGCTGTGCCATTTTCTCACTGGGTCCCATGCTCTGCCGACCTCCAACATGATGTTCCGTGGTAGCTTACCCACTATCTTGACTTTTCTGAGGCTTGCTACAGTTACATGAAGCTTTAACACTGCCAGTGTTAGCCTTCTGTTTTGAAACTTAGACTGTCTCTCCATATTCTTGGAGGAATGTTCCTTAAAGCCAAAGAAGATGCTCTTAGTCTGTGGTAATTCAGCACCACTGCTGTTATATGTTGAGTAATAGCATAGACTGGAGAATGTGAAAAGCTCTTCTAGAATAAGCTATTCTTTTGTTTTTAAGACAAGCTATGTTTTTTTGTTTTTTTGTTTTTTTTTTTTTTTTTTTT